TGTAATTATATCTTTACCCTTTAAGGGTGATAGCATTTCGAATACAATCAAGCGACGGTTGCGCTCCATAGAAAGGACGTACAACGCAGTCCTACTAAAAGCCTTCCCGTAAAAGCGGCAAAGGATGCCTTGTCGTTGCACACCCCCCCCCACACATTGTACCTAGGAATTCACGTGCATTTGCAGATAAAAGTACATTGGGCGTACGCAAAGGCAACTGGCAGCCAGGGCCGCCTAGCACTTGCCTAATTGGCATTTCAAACACAAAAGATAGAGTACCAGTAGTGACTCGGTCGACCTCAAAAAAGCTTTCTGAGTACTTGTTCGGACACGAACAAATCGAAACCTGCGCTACTTGGAAGCAGTGTACATACGGGGGGAGAAACCCGACCTGTGCAAGCAGGTAGACCACCTGGTCAATCTGCAATTACCTTGGTAATTGGCCAGCTAGTTTTAATCACGACTTGGTTTGCACCAACTTCCTCTCTCTCTTTCTGCCCCTGTGGGCTGATTTAATGCAGTGCCCTTTAGTTGATCATTATTTACACTGAACTACGACTCTTGCTGTTATACACTGACATTCTGTGAAACTAAATTTCCTGTATGCTCCTAACCGTTAGCTGTCTCATGCAACGACGGGATCCAGTTGAAAAGCCGTCGCGAAATTTGTTGAATTCAATTAATCCTGCTGTCTACGCTTGTTTTAAATTCGTACCGCGGAACAAATGCTTCGAGTTGGTATAATAATTCTCCTGGTCAATATGTTTCCTTGGTTAACCAATAGGAGTGGTCCTTAGAGTTTCTTGGTGTATAAGCTTCCTTTGATAACCAAAAGTAGCTGCTCTTGCTCCTGTTCTTTTTTGTTCTTTGCCCAACCTTTACATTTAAGTTTTAGTTCAGAATTACAACTTCCACATGTCTTTCACATATATTTTAGTTTAGTACAACAATTATAAGCGGCTTTAATTTACTTCCGAGTGCGTACGTATCACACATTAAACACATATTATCTATGCATTAATCAAGCATTAAACTTCCAACCACAAATCGTGTATGACACTTAGACTAGGAGAATTTTACCCCTGGGCGGCCCTACAATGAAGCTCTACCTCAGGAAGTTATTCATATATCGCAATCGAGTTCAAATGACTTTTTCAAAA